CAATAGAATGTTACGATATTAATATTTGAATTATTGTTCTTTAACTGTTTTGTTTGTCATTCGACTTAGGTTCTTGTACGTATTTTCTTTTTTGCATCGGGGTTATTTTTGCGTTGAAACTCGACATGCTCACAGACTGTAACTCTGGTATCGGTCGAGAATAATCCATATTTATGCAATAGGAGAACGGTGGGTTTATATGCATCTAGATACGTTTTTTTCTTGCGTGCGAACTCACGTTCTTTTTTTTTTGTTAGATTTACTGATACGTATTTTATTCCTCATAATTCTAAACTCGTTCGAAATCGTAACTCAGAGAAAATAAGTCAACAAGCCAATTCTGTACTTTCATTTTTCTAGGTCGATCGATGAAGATCGAGCAGAAACTTAGTTCAAAGCTGTTTAGCTATACGAATGAAAATTCTATTTTTGAATCACGATTTGACATTGGAATTCTGCAGTTAAAATTTTTCCATAAATGCATAAAATTCGTTCTATTTATAATAAATGTTGATTATAAGTTCACATAGTAATCATTGTGACGGTGTTGTAACGGAAGGTAGAAAGAATTGAATCTCGGTATGCGATCGAATTAAAGAAAACACGACTAGAAACTGTGGTCGATTGCTTAAACGCGTCGGAACAGGTGGGAGACGATCGCCGCCGAGATATCGTTCGCGCGAACGCGCAGCTCGACTACGCTTTTCTTGTACGCGGAGTGTGAGATGCGAGATGCATTTTTTCAGCTTCCATTTGCAGACAATCGACGCGGTAATCACGGGTTGGGCGCCGGAAGCAGGGAAGATATTCGCGCGCTCGCGATCAGATAACCCTCTCGCTGGCTTCGCTGCCTGACCTGCCTTGCTTTCTTATTCCTCCTACCTCCTGCTCCCGCCTTCCTCCGACACCCCTACCCGGCCGCATAGTGGTCTCGTTGCCAAGCATCGGCCTCTGTTTCGCCTGACAGGCCGGTGTATCGCCGCGGAACAATGAGACCCGAAGACTGGAGTTAACAGTATCCGCAAAACTGGAGGGAAACCCGAACGCGAACGCGGAACGGATGATCGCTATCTTTCTCGAGATCCGATTCAACGCCCACGCGGACTCGAGCGCGTTTATGAAGTGGCTCTGCCCATGCCCCGTTCCCTGAATGGCGGACGGATTAATTAAATTTCGAACGCGCCACGGTGAAAGCTCCTCGTCTCCCGCGTTCTACCTCGGCTCGCGCCACGGACTTGAATGAAATCGGAGCCCCCGTCCAGTGTGGTCACTGTGTCTGAACGGTATGCGTTACGTCATGCATCGAAACGCATCTCCCTACGAGATTCTTTATTATAATTCAGCTTTTTTTTTGGAAACTTTTATCGGACAGATTATACGACGATGACACGCGATGTACGTCGAAGGCTTGTCAGATTTCTCTTATAAACGTAAAGACGAGAAACACGGTCGAACGTTATCTCCGGTTCATTCAGAGTTCCAATCTGAAGATTCGCTCTCCCACGAGCTGGCAGATCCATCCCGTTATTAACAATTCAATCTGAGCACCGAGCGAGCCTCCCAGGCGATATGGTACGTCGGTTCATGGTGGCGATCGGAGCCTCCAAAGAGCATCGAGGCGACTCGCTTCCTGAAGAGTTCTCGGTGGCACAGACCGATCGGCCGAGTTGCTCGCGAAACAGAGGGAGAGGGACAGAAGGAGAGAGGAGGAGAGACGGTCGACGGCCCGGAAGATCACCGGGTATACGTCTCCCGCGAGGAAACGCACCATTTATCCACGTCAGCCTCATTCACCAACACCGGCGTGTGTCCCGGACCCGCAATCTACGATCCTTCCCCACACGTGACGGTGCCGCACATAAATATACTCGCTTGATGCACGCGCACACGCGCACGCAACGAGCACCGACCGTTTTCCCTCTTCGCCCCTCCCTCTGTCCTTCTCCCTTGCCGTCACCCTTTTACCTCTTTCTCCCTCCCGCCGTCCTCTTCCTCTTCTTCTTCTTCTTCTTCTTCTCCTTCTCGGTGTCTGCGACCGTCCTCGTTCCGAGCGCGAGATGCAAGCTCGCAGCGAACGCAATGAGGAACACGCGAGACCGCGTGGAACACGCGTTCCGTGATCGGAACAGGGGGACCCGCGTGGACAGGTGTGCGTGCACACGATCGACGGGCACTGCCCAAGTGTTGTACCCGCGTAGCTACGTCCGCGCAAACGGTATAAGTACAGCAAGCATTGTGCGTGTGCGTGTCGGTGCGAGGAGCTTACAGGCCAGATTCACACTGGAGGAGAACCCGGCGGCATCCTGCTGCCTGGGCGGCTCGCCGTTGGATAGACGTTTGCGATAAAACGCGGTTAACACGGAAATTAACCGTTATATCTTTGCACTTATTTACTCTTGCACCCGGCAGATAACATAGCGAGAGCGGAGAACCGTATTTTACATAACCACCGCCCGCACCCTGATGATCCGTTACCGATTCTTTCAGAATCTTGGGACTCCGCAGTTGAGGACTTTTTAGATAAACCATATTTGCATCGTACGGTGTGATATTAATGCGAACAATTGAGGGATTGAATGAAGCTTCATCCACTCTAAGATAATCTTCGGCGGTCGGTCATTAAGACACAAGCATTTAGAGAGTAGTAGAAGGAGAGTGTTGAGGAAGCCATCAGATTATGCCACGGTTTAATTACATCGATTAATTTCCCTTTCTTGTTGGAGATAAGAACGTGGAGATGAAACAAGTTCTCGAGCGTAACAAATTTAGCTTGAAATTCTGCCAGCTTATGAAATTTTGAAGATCTTACCGGATGCAATATCTGGAAATTGATCAAGGTTACGTTTAAATATACGATTCCTTACTGTCACGATGATTCACTTGTAAAGTAGATGCGAATATAATTAAATAAAGTGTTAGCTAATTTATTTCAAGAGAATCTTAGAGAAAAGAGGTGACTGTTTGGAGAAATATGATTCCTCAAGAGCCAATAACTCCGGCGAGTTCCTACAATTTCAAATGTTTCGCGTTTTGAAGCTTAGGATCTCGACGACGATGTAAAATCATCGTCGGGACGTCGGGCGTCGGAGGAGATCTCTGACATTGGCCACCAGATGACTCCCTGTCCTGGCACGAGGAGGATACGCCGAGGAAGCGGATGCTGCTGGTGGGACCAGTTCCATCTCCAACTCCGAGGGACTCGTGTTTCACCGTTTCCCATCAGCACCGGTGTCAGTCTGAATAGTACGTCGACCAATCGGACGACGGTTTTATCATCGTCTGGTACTCCCATTGGCTGGAACCGGTCGGGTTTCTATCGAGCGGGCGTCGGAAGGCCGCGCCTAGCAGAGAGAGGTTGCTGCTTTCGGATCTGGGGTTAGTGCACCTTCCCGTATTCCCCTCCGATCCCCAACATCCGACGAGGATAACGAGAACCGTACACCGAGAGTAAGAGCAAGAGGGACGAGAGAGCGGTGGGGCGATCGGAGGGGAGAGAGAGGAGATAGACCTAGTATTCGTCTTCTTCTTCGTTAATATTGCTTCCAGCCGTTTGCCAGGCGGTTTCGAAAGTCCCTGATCGATATGACGTAGCGTCCCCGGAGTCTCAACCCTCGGGACGACACCCTCTTCCGCGCGCGACACGGGGTTGCTTCCAGTCGTCTTACGCTCCTCTCGTAAGCCCCAAGATTGCGAGAGAGCTTGATTGAGGGCTCTTCGAGTTTCTCATTTTCCTTTTTCTCGTCGTTTGAAACGGGGTTGCGACAGAGATCGCATCTTCTTGTTCGAGTGGATCGAATATTTTCGAGACGACGCGACTTCTTCAGATATCGAATAGGGCCAGGTCGGAGGGTGGAACTCGAAATACGAAGTAGGTTGACATCTCGCAGACGTCCTCCGGAAACGAGGGCGAATCACAGCCAACCGGCCGTTAACGATATTTATTCTGCATGGTCACATTTACCAACTTCCCCGTGTCTACCTATTTAATCGTTTTCCCTAAGCGATGGCAACGTATGTTTCTCGGATTAAATCGAAGCAGTCGCGACAGAATTAATGCTTTAATTTCCAGAAATTCGAAAGGATTATCGGTCTCGAAATACGCGAACCGCGTGCGTCGGTCGTCGGCGCGTTTCTAAGCGGTCTGGCATTCATTATTCATGATTAGCGCCACGAGTCCCCGGTCGCGCGTCGTTTTCAAAGCGTTTACCGGTACCGTTCGCGTTTCACTCTCAATTAATTTGTAATCGCGCGGAGTACGCGGAGGGTAGAGCCCGATGCGACGCGACGCCCAAAGAGAAATTACGTGACACGCGAATAGTTACTCACGCATCCCTCACGCATACACGGGTACAAATTGCGAGCTATAGGAGCTTGTACGAGCCGACCGTTCGAGTCGGGTGCTTCCGAACGAAAAATCTGTTTCCCAGATACGATTTTGATATCGTGGACCGTCTGTCACGCGTCAAGATGCTCGGCTACTCTCGAACGAACACGCGCTGCCGCGTCGTCGCGTCGTTTCGAGTGCTGCGAAACGCCTCTCGTCGCTCTTCTACACCTGTCATTCTCGTGCCTCTACGGACTGCGTCAAGCTGCTCGGTTAAGTGGGACTTTTTATTATCTGTCGGATACAGCTGGTCAACATCTCTAAATTTACCTGACGGTGCAAGGCAGACATGCGCACTTAAACTCTCCATTAGAAATTGTAATTATCACAGCATTTTTTTTAATAATAAAACGAATGCAGAAAGTGAGCTGAAAATTGATACGTCGAGAGGTAAGATAAGGAAATTCACCCTCAAAATTCTGACAGGCCCGATGACATGATCTCGTATACCTCCAAGTCGTTTGGAGTCAATTCCCGTCTTTCGTTCGACGGAGTTCGAACTGGACAAGCTACGTCGACGCGGCTCGCGTTCGCGACGACGTCGACGAGCTACCTGCGAGGGAGGGTAGGCGAACTGGGGGAGCGAGGACGTAGGGGTTGCGCGCAAACGCCGACCGTCCGAGCGTCGGTATACACCCTCTACAACCCCGTCCGAAAACCCCACCCCGTCGTTGCGACGAGTCGACGCGTCGGTGCACGCGGGGTCTAACCCCTCTATCTTTGCCATGCCGACGTCCGCCCCTGGCCCTGGCTAGGAAGCCCAGGATCGTACACTATTGCGCCGACGAGGAGCAGCTTCCCTCGCGGCGGAACGAAGTCTGCCCCGTTGCCTTGTTGCTCCCGTTTTACCCGCGGCGCGCACCGACTTTTTCCCTCTACGTCCGACGAAAAGATCGGGCGCCCCGGTCCTCCTCGGTTGACTCGCGTCTCTTCCGGTTACGAGGTTCCGTCGTCGCGGCGACGCGCGAGAACGTGTGACCGTGTCGCGATTACACGCCGGTTTTTGGTGATGAGCTACGGAACCAGGTGATAACTGCCGGACTTGGAGATCGAGGAAGCTGGACATTGGTCTGGGTCACAGGTATACCAGCGAGTCATTAGTGGTAGTGTACAAGCTTGGACGATTGAACAAAGACTGGGTATGGTCCGTAAAATTGTGCGTGTAATGGATTTATAGTGGGACTTACGAAGTGAAGTCTGTGCGATTTTGGTCTGGCTGGACTGAAGATAGTAACTGTGTTTTTAATAATTGATTGTGTAATCATGAAATTAAGTGACTGTTATCTGGAAAAAGCGATTACATCGCTATGATAAAAAATGGCTAAACTATTTTTATCACTTGAGTATCATTGATTACGACGTTGTTTCTAAATTTTTTGACATCGCATCAAACGTGTAATGATTTTTCATTTAAAGAAAATTAGACAGTTTGTTTCAATCGTCCAACAGCGTGATTATCCTGATTCCGACGGATCTCGAGATACGGAATCCGACCGATGAAATTGTACCTTTCGATCAACCGTAAGAAATTTAAAACAAATTCTTGCTCGTGATTCAAGGTTCCCATTTGGATGGAAACAGTGAGGAAGAAAAGGAAATAAATTCTGGTTCCGAGATCGCTGCGATAGGAAGCGACGGCCGACGAACAGCAGCCGGAAGAAAACGTCGAACGTTCGGAGGGACACACGCAGCTATCGTTTATAATTAATCGTACACTCGGGTAAGCTAACAAATTGAATACAAGAATTATGAAAACTTGAAATCGAAATTGTCGTGGAATTCATAGCATGATATGCGAAATTCTAGACAATAAAATTACTTCTGTTGCATCGTATTAAATATGTGAGTAGAGTTTCAATAGCATCAATGGATTAAAAAAAGCCATAAAGTATTTCATAGACAAATTTGATTTGATCAGCTTTTAAAAGCTATTTTAGATAATACGATTGTATCTGAAATCAAGCGGTCTCATTGCTGTCTGATCCAATGCACATCATTATTTGTTAAATGCATACCAGTTTCTCGAAGTGGACGTCAAAACATGAAATGCAAAGGGGAAAAAAAGAAACGGGATGAGAACAAGTGTATAATAGTTGTAAATCAGCGTTGTCGAGCTAATACGTCCGTGACAAGGTAGCAGCAAAACGGGGCGTCACCTTGGCGAGAATAGAAACGAGGTGTACGAGGTGATTCGACGGCGACGCCGTGTCACCTTCCATTTAACTTACGGAAATCACGTGGCGAGTCGGGCGGCTCGTAAAGGACGTTGAGTTATTGTGGCGATCCCGCAAGCTTCTGCTAATTAGCTCGCAGCCGGATTCGAAACCAGAGAGAGCCACTGGGCCCCGGGAGTCATTCATTAACGGGACAGCAGTCACGAATTGTTTTCATTCATCGGTTCTTGCGTGCGCCGCCGCTGAGAAGTGTCCTGAATGAATGCGGTCCGCCGCCTCTCCTACTCCTCCACCACCTCCACCTACTCTGTCCCAGTCAAACAAGGAAGAGACAAAGTGTCCTTCCCTAGCTTTGAAGGTTCGTCATCGCCGTGATGACGATCCGAAAACTTAACACCAATACACTTACTGAATCTTCACCATCCTCGACTATTCCCTTCTTGCTATGTAAAAACGCATATGTACTGGTGGTTGATATTTATTTGTAATTTATAAGTTTTGTTTAACACGAGGAATGTACATTCTGTTCATAGAATGATTCGCCGATGGTCGCGGTTGTACGATTCGAGATGCTGAAGGAAGTCGGTTGCGGTAGCAGCACGCCCCCGCCAGGGGATAGCGCCGTCAGCAATCGACAGCAGGTCGTCGGTACCGGAGAGAACAACAACAACAACAACGACGGCGGCCTCGGCTGCGGAGGTTGCGGCAGGGAGATAGCCGAAAGATGGTACCTGAGGGCAGCGGATCGCGCTTGGCACTGTGGATGTCTTCGTTGCTGCCACTGCCGGGTGCCACTAGCGGCCGAGTTGACGTGTTTCGCCCGGGACGGCAACATCTACTGCAAAGAGGATTACTATAGGTTAGTGGAAGTAGTCTTAAGCTGCTTACGCGCCGGGCTGCAAGGGGTACTTTTAGATCCGACGGAATTACTACGTCCTGACTTCTAGAAAATTTCATTTTTCAGCGTCATCACGTTTCCTCTTGCGAAATGCATATTTTTTACTGACTGTCACTGATGACGCTTGCAGTTGAACCGCGTATCGAAAGACCGATTCATTTATACACAGTAGAACGGCGAATAGTTAAATGTGAGCAATCCCTTTTCACTGTGGGAAACAAAAACCGGATTCTAGGTACCAACGATCGTTTCTGCTTTACATCGAATTATCCGGATGATGCGGAAAATTAATGCAAAATCCCGAATTCACCGGTGGTTTCACGTTTCGGTATTTATTGGGGTATCCGCGAATTTGCATAGGAGGTGTCCACCCCGCTCGAAACTTCGCCCAGACCACACAAAATGTCTACTAATGGCCAGCTCTCTCTCTAAGCCCGATGCTCGTCCTGGTTCGGTCTAGGCACCTGAAATTCCACAGCTGTGATACGCCGGCCCCGATAAAAAACACGCGGTCACGATTTCCAACGGAGCAGCCTCTTTCCGCCATCGGTCGTCGCTTCTTTTATTCTTCGAGTACACCACGAGTTCGATCCGTTTGAGACTTGTTTAAACTTTTAGATTTCAATGATATATTTAATCAATCTCGATTTGTACTCAAGACTTCTTTGAATTCAAACTTGAATTGTGCACTTGTCACAGAATTTCACTTCGGGATTAAACGCACTGGTTAGCAAATTAGAAACTAGAAATTCAAGTGAAAGAAATTCCTTTTATATTGACTTCGTTACACGCGCACGAAGCGCATTCAGACATTAAAATGTAGAATCGTGGATGAACGGAATTAATTACCTAAAATCCGACGATTACGGGGTCATTAATTAAACGCGGGGATTTGGTATTCTGTTTTTTGTTTATGAAAACGAGGTGTCCTCGTTGAAATTCAGAGCGCGGTTAACAGACGATGCGTTATTTCTCGGAGTCTTCGAAAGTGTGAGAAGCCGTTTCTTCTCCTCCCGTCAAGCGGACTGAAATTGTTAAATTGACGAGCTTCGGTCAGGAACCAGTGTTAAATATTCAATTCCTTATACATTATTTACCGCGGAAGAATTCTTATTCTTACTCAGTCGACTAACTCGCAGATCTTCGCTCTCGCGAATTAAATCAAATAAATTAGAAATTACTATTTAAATATATTTGCCCCATCGATTTGAAAAGAAATAGGATTTGCGATGTTTTTTTTTTTCATAGTACCAATTTTCAACATCTCCTTGTTATCTATTTAATGAAAGGAAAAAGGGATTAGGTTCCAAGCTTTCGAATCCTGTGATCATCGGCTAATCAGTGCGTGGGATGGGACAAACGCAATAATTGAAGGGAACAAAGGGGCCTCGTGTCTAATATGAGACATTTTTCAGTGCTCGTACCTATACGCAAGCCTTGTTACAACGGGAAAACTGAAACGTTTCTTTGCCTGGCTAAAGAATAACGAACGCCGCGGCTTTAGTCGAAGTCCTCTCGGAACTTTTTCCCATTGAAATATGATATTTCGCAAACAAAGCGACATGTCAAAAGGAGAGCATATCTATGGATGGATCATCCTATTGAAGCTGTACGAATCATTTTAATTAGAATAGAAGTCTGGGTAAGAATGAAATAAGAATACTGAAGCGATTTGAAGTAGTTTCGGTAATTGAAAAAAAAGGACAACAAATGCATAGATCAAATCGTCGCGCCGATTCTCGGGAAGATTTGAGACGAGGGTGGAGGTTCGTTAGAGAAGAATACGTAGACTTCCATGCAATATGCAACGATCCATATCCAGGCCAAACCCCCTTTGTCTCTATTTGGTTTTCGCGCTTCGAAAACTGTGACTTCGCCTCGATCGTCGATGACCGATACGAGAAGCTAGCTCGTGGAAACCCCACACCCCCTCGCGGCCACTCCAACATCCCGCCTCCACCCCGTTCTCCGAACGTGCACTCTTCCTCTCGGCCGCGGCGCGGACGTTATGGTGTGTCGGTGGAAGAAAAACGCCGAACCAGAAGGGGGGAACCCGTGCATTGTTCTCCGATTTTGGTCCGAGCCGATGGTCACGAACAACGAGAGGTCACGTGCATGCGCGCGCGCGGGAACTCAGGAACGGGGAGGATCGATGAATTCGAGCGACGATCGGGATCGTTGATTTTGTAATTAGGGGATTTCTACGAAGAACGCGTGATCGAGAGAACTCGAGACCACTCGAGGAAGGAACCCGGAACGACGACGACGATACTCCTACTCCTACTCGAGGCGTTATCCAACTGGTATACTGAAGGCGAGTCGAAGGGGTTCAGACGTATTAAGAGGGTCGATCGTCGGATAGAGACCAGATGGATCGCATAGTTGACTCATTCTATTCATTCTTGAATAAGTGAACGGTTTTCATTGCGAGAAAATTATATGTATTTCAATAGGTCTCTGAATCCGTGTGTCTGATCAGGCGCTGGATTCTTCTACTGAAGCCACTGTTGTTCCAGATAAACTGCTGCCTGGTCAATTCTTAGTTGTTTTTTTTTTAACAGAAAATCAAAGTACATTCGGAAATCGTGAATGGACTGCTTTATAATTGCGATATCACAGGTTGTTCGCCGTTTCGAGGTGCTCCCGATGTCGGGCCGGGATCTCTGCCACGGAGCTGGTGATGCGCGCCAGAGACTTGGTCTACCACGTGGCCTGTTTCACGTGCGCATCCTGCGGGACCCCGTTGAACAAGGGCGATCATTTTGGACAGAGGGACGGTCTTGTCTACTGTAGGTGAGAAATACGAGCTACGAATTACACCGTCTACGGAATGGCCGTCTCTTTGTTATCAAACGAGTTTGATGACGAGAGTGACAGAAATACGAGCCGCGTCGACGTACAGTCTAGAGGATACTCATTATCGGTTTGGTGCTAAATGACAGCTCCTTCCTAAGGCGGCTGAATCAGGGTCTCTTTCAATTCTCAGAAACGGGGATCGAGCTCGACGCGCGCTCTCCTAAAGGAAAGACGTCGCGGCGCCGCTCTACGTGAGATCGATTCGATTCTACATATTCAATTATACAAGATCCAGCGTACAGGAATAATGTGAGAAATTTAAAAGGATCGACATACGCACTTGGGAGCAGAATTTTTTATGTAGATACACATCAATCTTATTATTTGCAACCCACCTTCTTTTTTTAAATATAGATTTCTTAATATATTTTTCTGCGTATGAATTTTAAATTTAATTTTAACGTCATTGTAGCTAAATTGCATTCAGTTTACATATTCTTGAGAAATAAACTTCTTCACGTAAGAGATATCGAAATCGCGGAGGATTAGGATCCGACCGAGCGTGAAGCGGCCCGTGAAGCGCAAACCCGTTCGTCTCGTTAATCGCCTCTCGCGTGAGCGTGAATCGCGTTCGCGCGACTGTTCATCGAACTCGGCGGATAACGGAAGGGTCGCCACTTGAAAATACTCGACAGCAAGGTTCACGAATGACGAAGCTGGTCGGTCCTCCAAGACCCCACTACGAGTTGCTGTGCTGCGCGGGTGATTACGCGGGCGCAGCCGGCGGCATCGAGGACATCGGCTCGCCGGGAGTGTCACCGCTTCCGGCTTATTACAGCGCCTCGGAGCAGAGTCCGATCACCACTTCCGGCACGGTGCAGAAAGGGCGGCCAAGGAAGAGGAAGCTGTCAGAAGTTACCGGGTCCGAGTTGCCGGTGACCATGAGGCTGGCTGCTGGAGCCCTCGGTGAGTCATACTTTTTTTTTATCAAACATCGTTTTTCTAGATAAGTTCATTGTTATTTCGACGATGATTGGATTAGGTACGAGCATTGAATTGCGAATTCCGAGATGTAGGCATCGATTCGCATTCGATTCGAGCCGCGGATCGATTAATCGCGCGGGTGACAGAGAGAAATAGGCGAGGGACCAAAGAAAAACGCGGAGCTCAGCTCGGGAGGCTCCTTTGTTCCTCCCGTCGTACAGTCGAAACAATAAAGAATTCACAAGAATCCAGTCTCGGCTCGGCTCAGCCCGAGGACGCAAATACGTGTAATTGGCAGTGGTGAAACAACGCGGGAACGCGTAAGGAGAGGGATGGAACGGGGTTGCCAGAGGGATAATTGGGCCGGATGGTAAACGGGGGGTGCGCGTGCTTTCAAACGCCGGGTCTTAAAACCATGGGAACACGTGGTGCTCTCTTTCTCTCTTTGATACCTACGCGTATACCTGCGCATACATAATGTATGTATGAGTGCACGAGTACCTACATACATCCGTTCTTCCTCTCTCTTTGCTTAGAAACAATCTAGTTATACCTTTCTCTCTCTCTCTCTCACACGCATACTCTTTCTCGGCACTCCATCCCCTCGAATCGAGCGTAGCACAGGTTAGTCGGGGGAGTTGCATTATTTGTCGAGCAATGAGTATAATGGCTGGTGTTCCTTCGGTGTGCAAACATTTGTGCGAGCTTTCGAGGATAGGCGGTTCGCGGATCGGTTTAGAGATTGTTCGCGCTTGTTAGCCCCTCGCTCTCTCATCGGCACGCGCGCGGTATTTCTTCGGCTGCAAATTTTTCTGTTTAATATAGAAAACCGCTGCGAACTATTGTTCTCCCTTACAGTTCACTGCGTACACGAATGCTTTCTTTCCGCAAAAAAATTTCAGCATTAAAGGGTTAATCGATCCTCGGTTCAGGCGTCACGTAAGGGCGTCGCGAAGACTGTCAACCGTTTTTGCGCCGAGTGTCGACATGTGCCACAACCCGATTTTCCTTTTCGAGAGTCGACGAATAAATAATCCCGACCTCTCGTGGGCACGGCCTCGCATTTGGTCATCGCGGCTGTTTTAAATTGGACCACTTCTTTTAAGCTGGCCTGCCCGATACACCGGAAGACGGTTTGCACCGGTCGTTTCTTTGGACGATATTAAAGGATTAATTCATTAGGATATGATAATCGAACGTGACGACCGACTCGGAAACGAGGTCGGTAAACATTCGATTAACACCCTTGGCTCGTCGGAACGATGATAAGAAGATCGCTCGACGTCCGAACGTCTCATTTGTTTCGGGATGTTTACGACGACTTCGAGAGGCCGTGCCGCAGGTTTTATTTTCTATAATCATCGCGCGATCACCGGGGATCACGTTCGGGCTACCGTCCGAAATTTACGATGCAACAGCCATAAAATCGGCCATGAAGTTGGCCAGAAGCCTTGGGGTCGGGGTGGGAATCCGACCGACTGGTTCGTCAGTTTTATTGTCTTTATATATAATTGGGACACTTTTTGCGAACGGATCCCTCGAACTATCTCCCCGACGTCTGGACGTTAGCCGGCGCGGCGCGCGTTCGATAAATCGTTGGAATTGCAACCGCGATAAGCCCCCGTCGCGTCCTCTTTCTCTGAGCCCCTGAGAATGAGAATTCACCGACAGGTATACTTCTTGCGATACTGAAAAATTTGTTCGTTTAAGCTTTAGAACCAGAGACATTGGCATTACATCCTACGTAGGCAAGATCAAGCAAGTAGAATAAAATTTCTTAAAATTGTCGGCAGAAGAATGATTAAGAGAAAAGTTTCTCTCATTGTTTAACCAGATTAGATCAATTTCAGATATGATGATCAGTAGTCTTGTAATTATAGGCAAAATAGTATCGATTTCGGATAAGATTCCACTAGTCTTCGAGGATGAACGCACAGGGGAATGGGGTGAACGAAGGATTTCAGGCAGACGTTTCGCGATTCGAATCGAATCGGAGGAGAAAAGGCTAGGCCCCGAAGGGACAGTGACAGATGGGTATCGGTGGCAAGATGCATCGATTGGCCGATCTGGCCGGAAAAGAATGCTGCCGTGGCCAATACGTGGTCGCGGCCAGCAGAATGGCCGGCGAACACTATAATGCCGCCTGCGTGAGTTTCTTGCCCGGGCTGCTGCCGCGAGGCTACGGGGCTCGGCCCTCGCCATCAAACCGTCCGCCGTACCATCGCGTCGTGCCATCCGCGTGATTTCGGCCTCTAGCCCCGGACCTGACAAATTGTAATCTCATTCTTGAACCACGAGAACCGTCCGCGAAATCCCCCTCGCGTCGGTCGCGCTGGATTTCATCGAGTCGTCGCACGCGGAGACTCGGCTCCTTGGGAACCAGGCCAGTCCGATGAAAAAACTTGCGGATTCCTTTTGCAGGGGCGTTCTCGTTCGCTCGTTTATCGCTAGAGCTGGTTCTAGGGAAAGCGATCCGTTTGGGAATCGACTGATCGGAGAGCACGACCGCTTTCCTCACATTTTTTTCCCTACCCGGTCTGGTATTAATCGGTGCTTTTTAGAAACCGAGCTTGCGATGATTTATATCGATTCCAGTGATCTCGTAGGACAGCCGATATTCTCTGAGATCCAGTTACCGATGTTTCTTCTTATGCTGCAAGATATCAGCTTGCGACAAGAATCGGTGCCGTTCACCCCGCTTGGACAAAATGAATTCCTCGCGTATGCGATCGGTGTGGCTGTTCTTCTCTTTTCTGGATCGCGAGCCAGCAGCCAGCGCACCGGAGAAACAGCCCGTCGCGTCCGTAAGGAATGGAAGTTCGGGACAATAAACAGTAATGGCGGATACGTGCTCAGGGATTTACTTCTTGGCCTGGGTTCTGCCTTCCCTCCCGTCCCTCCGCGTGCGCGCACCGTGCAGCACAGAGGCTGTCCGCGAACGTCGCCTGGAACCCGTTCTTTCTCCTGCGATTGAATTCAATGGTTACCCTCGTCGTCTTATTTATTGGATGCGTTCCTTCGCTCCGGCAGGCGCGCAACAACTGCAACTTGCAACGGCGCTGCTCAACGGTCCCACACACCGCATCGATGCAACGTCGTTCCTTCCTCCAGCGTCCGCCGAAGTTGCTCTTATTCTTATTCCATCCAGGCGCGCTTACGTGCGCGGAAATTCGTTTCGCGCTGTACGCGACCGCGTGCTATACTCGGCTTCCCGTGGACGGAATCGCGATCTACGGATGAGAACGGAGGAGGAAGCTCATGCTTCTACCATTGCCGGATACCTCGTCGATGAGATCGTATATTGATTCGTTTTGAAAAAATTCTGAGGATTCCTTTTAAATAAAAAATATAAACCGTTTCTCTCGGGATGAAGATGTGCGTCGTTCGATCTTCGTTACGATCCGAAATTAGGTTCGTACCTGAATACGTGTCTATTTTATCGCCGAGGAATAAGGAAAACAAATCGTTCGATAGGCAGGCCCGATAGTTAATGCCGATTGATGGATCACGAGCGTTCATCGCTGATCAAGTTGGAATTTTCTCTTCCACCGTCCATTTTATGTGTCGTTCTTCGATCGACATCTATTCTTTTTTGGTTTATCTGTTTCGCCCCTTTGAGAATTTTTGTTCCACCTTTTATTATCAACAAAATCGTCGACAAAAATCTGTCGCACTGCTTCAAATTCTAAATCGTTCAGTTCTCTAGAGAATGACAGCTAGGGCACGTCGAATCAGGTAGAGCGATCTGGTTTCAGAGCTGCTTCACCCCACCGAACTGTCCTCGTCCATGGAATCGTTGACGGCTTACGAAGCATCTGTCGGATCGCCCGGCCCGGTGCATCAGAGCCAGCGAACGAAACGGATGAGGACGAGCTTCAAGCATCATCAGTTGCGAACGATGAAGAATTATTTTGCTATAAATCAGAACCCGGACGCAAAGGACCTCAAGCAATTGGCGCAGAAGACGGGACTCTCGAAGAGGGTGCTTCAGGTAAGGAAATCTCCGAATTTTGATTACCGACGAGACGCGATTCCGTTTACCGTAACTGGATACCGACGCTCGCACTGGATTTTTAAAACGACTCAAAAACTGGAGAACTGAGCCTGAATCGGGTTCTCGGTTTGGCACAGGTCTGGTTCCAAAACGCCCGTGCGAAATGGCGACGGAACATGATGAGACAGGAAGGGAACACGACTACCAGCAACGTGGGATGTCCCGGAACGCCGGTTCCGTCGAACACCGGCGGTTCGCCGAACGTGGGACCGGCAGCTAGCATCCTTGGGGACAGCAACAGCATGCCGTCGACCTCGATGGAGGAGCTCCACGCTCTTCATCACCTACATTCCGGCGTTTCCTCCCAAGTCTCGTTCTCCGATCTTTATTGACGACGGCTTGAGATGGAGGAAGACAGCTACAGCAGCCTCTCCAGCCATCTTGGATGAAGGATCGCGTCCGCGTACCTTCTTTGGGATCCCGACTCTACAACTTTCGTGTTCCTCTGGGATACGATCATTTTCGATTGATCCTTACATCGGGACAACGGGTAAACGTTAGTCGACGACGCGAGTGCAGAAGAGAATACGCGATTCCTCTTCGACGATGTTAAGAACCGAGGAGCTCTTGGATGAGAAACCTCTTGGTCGAACTTTAGATTGTTCCTGCGGTGAGTAAAAATTCCGAGATCGTTTCTGAGAGCGTCAGAAAGGAACACAGTCGACCCGATAAAGAAATTAGCTACCTGCCGGTTGATCCGTTAGTTAATTAATAAGCGACACGCGATAATGAAGACGTTTACAAGCCACTAATCGCTTACAAACGGTCTCTCCCCGCGCGCTTGTCAAATCACGGCAATTATCGCATTCGTTCGAGCCGAACTGTTAAACGCGCGTTTCAACGATTATGCTTGGGCAATTCTCGAACGTCAATTACAGGTAACAAGAACAAACGAGCGTTCATCGATCACGGCCGTTCAATTTACGCGGCGAAACGCGCTTAAAAACGATCGATCGTACGATCGATCGATCAACGGCCCATAAAACGGCGCGTAAACGAACCGACAACACCGAATATCCTCTGTATCAGGTTCTATCCTCACCTAACAAATGATCTGATCTCAGAAATATTTAGCGAGGGAGCTAGCCACGGAAGACGATCAAGGTTTCACTGAGAATCGTGAACCACGCTGAACGACGCGACGTTTCAGCTGAAATCGGATTATGTTTAAGTAATCAGTGATAATAATCATAGTTCCATGCACATCCGAATTACCAAAGATATTCTAGGTGATAGTTTGTCTCGGCAGCGAGAGCGCGAGTCGGGTCCGGATTGCACGAACAGGAAATCGAACGATCCTCGAAGAAACGGCGTTCCTCGACTCGCGGCCACTAACGAGGGTCGCAACGTAATTGATATAATTCCCTTCGAGCGTACAATTACGTTACTATCATATATAGGAATTATTTCGTTTCCTCGAACTGATCAACGTTTGATTCTTCCCTCGAACGACTCTCGAAACGAACGGAAGCTTCCTTTGAGGCACGCCGGCCCGGCTTCGGCTCGCTGCCTCACTCCTCCTTTTTAGCCGAGTAACCGTGTCGACGGAGACACTTTTTGATAACGGGCTTAGAGAATCGCGAACGAACGAGCGACAGGTGTGGTAAAACGGCGTTCCTCTCCTCGTGCCAAAAAAAAAAAACGTACGTACATACAAGTAGCTAAGGTATCAGTTTCTTTGTTTTTACACAGTGCCGGTCGAATCCAAAGTTTCCGAGGAATTCTGCTTAATTTAATTCCGACTGGCATTCGTACTTCGCTGCTCCATAAAGAAATGGGGTTTGTATCGATTGAGGAACGAATAGAACGGCTTTGGATTCGAGCGGCACGATTCGCAACGCGATCACTCGACCATCGAAGACACGGCATGTATATTAGAGAGAAGGAAGAGTTAGATAGATCGGAATGTTTTTAGTAAGACCTATGAATAGCGATCGATATTAAGTGTGGAGTGTCTTACTATCTGACCATCGACGAAGAACGATGGAGAAAGAAGAGAACTGCGAAAAGAAAATAAAAAAAAAAACAAACGAATTATCGTTTCCGTTGGAACTGACGAAGCGAGAAGATTCCTATGACGAGTAGAAGAAATTTATTTGTAACGATCGAGAACTTATAATTTTTATATATATACGTCATACGTAATTATTAGAAAATGGTATTTATCGACTGCTGACGAGAGATCCAGAGATCGTCCCAATGGAATTCTAAATCCCACTTTTCAAATATCCTCCCCGACCTGCCGATGGGCATCTCGTAAAATATCGCGGATTTTCATACTTCTTTCCATATTTTGTGACACGCGACACCCCGGACCGAAAAGCCGATACCTATACGCGTTGAGTCGGGGGGGTCATAGTCTGTATAGTCAGCGAAATTGACGGCAGTCGCATGTTTTAGGCATGTGTAGGATAGATTGATGATTTAATGTACGTCAGCGTTTTAAAATCGATGCAAGAAGAAAACAAAGCGAACCAATTATGTAAAACTGTATAGATACAAATTAATGTGCTGCATTCGAGAGCGATTAATATACGTATATAAAAATAAATAGTTACGTACATCTGGATCATTGGAAAAAGAAAGGACAAGCTCCCGTTTCATTCTCCACATTATTTTCAGCGAACGAAATTAAGACAAAATCGAACTACGAGTGTACACGTTGCACGTAATTCATAAATTCCAAAACTGAATCGCACGACAAGATTAAACGATAGGACGATCGTCGTTCATTCACAAGAGGAAGCACATTATAAAATACCTGCACTAAGTTACAAAAATCATTCCAAATCCCACGCGCCTCATCCCGTTCTTAATTGAATCACAAATTAAGATCCTATCTGTCCCCCCCTTCGAAGGAGTTTATGAAAACGCGACACCGACAAAGTTCAAAACGAACGTACGAATGATATTCGGGACCCGACGTCGTGAAACGTGAATTTTATTCGCGTTTCAATCGCGTGTCGGAAAGAGTGTCCTCTCGCAAATATCAATAACCGCGTTACGATCTCGGGTACCTCGCCGGATTTCTGCCACACGCGGAAGACTCGGCCCGCGGTGGAGCAAGTGCGAGTTCTAATTAGCATCAAATTAGGTATTTAAGGATTTCACGTTTCGTGCGTAAACGGATCGGAGGGAGACGGGTCGAGGGTGGGAGAGAAGTCTGCAGGTTCGACTTTCAAAGAAGAAGAAGAAGAAGCAGAAGAAGAAGAGGAAGAAGCAGAGGATAAGGAGGAGGAAGGTCGAGCAGCGACGGGAAAAAGAAGAACAAGGAGTTTCCTACTTAGGGGTTATACCAACATAGGGACCTCTCGTGTAAATTGTAGGCTCCGGAGTCGTATAAGTGCAGCGTTCTGTATATACTCCGCTGTATACCTACATATATTTTGTCGGCGCTCATATAAGTTAATTTTCAATCTATATGCGGGTCCCTCGGATGGCGCGCGGCGCGACTCATCAACGAAATGAAGAAATTGAGACTCTCGTTAATATTTAATGAGCAGGATACAATGGCCGACCCCGTCCATATCCGCGTCCGCGGCGACTCGGAGAAATATCACCTCCGCGAGCGTATGCTTGCGATATCGAACATGTTAATGCACCTCTCGCGAGAATTCATAAACGAGATTATGTATTACAAGCTTTATTGCAGATAATTTTACATTGTGCAGATAAATGAGCATAGTTGTTATCTGTAAGACGAAGATCTACTTGTCGTTTCCGGTAAGATTTCACTTGGAAAAAGTAAAGTAAAAAGGATTGGGAGCGTACACTGGCGAAGCGGACCTGAGACATTTCTGCACCGTGAACGTCACTCTCCAGATAGCGAAGGAAGATTTCTCTCTCATTTAGAATTCAACGAGGAAGCACTTTGTCGCGTTCCGCGGCCGGAGGAATCGGGTTAATCAGCGAAAAAGAGATCGAGCCGAGTAGGGGGAAAGAATCGGCATCGGCCAGACGTTTTCGAAGACGTCTTGTCGCGCGGGAGATAAACCAACGGACAAAGCGGGACTCGTCGCGATTCGCGATCGCCAATAAAAGGGGAAGGGATCAGATTCTGGTCCGCGCAGCTGTCGACGCTGTAAAAGGTAGTCTCCCAACGACGACGACGACCGCTTTTCGACAAGCCAGAAAATACGCGGAATTCATGGATGCGCTCTTCGTGGACGCTCCTCCCGATCGGTGTTCCTCTTTATGCACGCAGAGGCTGCATCAACCAATCAGTAATATCTCAAATTGATTGCCAAACATGTTGACATTTTATATAAAGAATGCTAAGTACGCGCAGTGTCTTGAAATCGGAGTCCAAAAGAAAATTTTATTCGGACCTCTTTCATTACTTTAGGTGCTGAATCAGTATGTATAGAACAGGGTTATCAAACAACGATGAGTCGCGAAAATAAGTAAGGTTCGTGCACGGCTAATTTGCTACACAATCTCCCCGCAGGTGTTTACACACCTGAGGGCCAGGCCGACTTCATTTGTCCGTGGAAGTCGATCGACCTTTTAACACCGAACCCATCACCCGGACCAGATAGCGCTGTGATATTCAACGTGAAAGAGCGAGACGGGACGAAGAGTAACAGCTAAGTTACTTACACGCAGGTAGTTAGCCGAGAGTGGAGAGAGGAGTTCCCCGTGTTCCATGACCGATCGAATTTTACGTTAATTAGTTAAGCGTCGTTAAGTCGCACGCGAGGGTGTCACGAGTAACGAAGGAGCCACGGTAATTAGATCTTTACGCGTGGGACGAGTGTTCGCAGGTTGCCGGAAATTCCACCTGCTATTACGTATTTCGTCTTGATAACGTTTCACGCATCGACTCGAATTTTACCCGGCTATATCGTTTTGCATTTCGACGAGAAAGAGAACTTTTCTCAAAGCGAGAAGATGAAAGGACTGCTCTGGAGGAGGTAATAGTTTCCTTCGTTTAAACGTAATATCCCCTCATATGGCAGATAATAACGCGCCTTCCCTATGATTAATCCTCGGTCCTATCCCAATCGCCCCGTTTCTTACACCTTCCTAGAAGATCGACCGGATTTTTTTTCACGATGCCCCGTACGGAGAAACCGAAACGGCCTAGAACCAATTAGTCCACTAGCGTTCCCTAGATTTCAATTGGCAAACGACCACCACTGGAAGGATTCGGGCGAGAGGGTGAAAAAACGAGAACGAATATGCGCGCAAGCGTTCGTAAATCGTTGCATTCCCGGATCGCCGAGAAGAACGAGAGGACGGGGCTGTCAGGGAAACGGTAAAAGATCGCAGGAAAAGATCGAGCGCGGTATCCATTCGACGTTGAAGTCGAAGCGAGCTGGCCCGGCTCAAAAAGTGGACCAATTTTCAGTAATTTGTACGCGCCGGAGCCGCGAACGCGCACGTATTCGTTCATGCCGGCAGCAGGGGCAGGAACCAGCTCTCGGCTCGTCCTCTTTTTCGGACCCGTTCGAAGAGTACCGTAATGCTCGGGATGGATCACGGTAACGCACACGCGTGCGTGCGTGTGCGACCACCTAGACGAGGTGTAAAAAGGACACCGGTACAGGGAGGACGGAAGACGAAGGACAAAGAAGATAGAGCGCGGTAGGTGGGAAGCGGGAGGAGCTGAAATAAGAAGGGTGGCTATTTTCGAGGGAAGAGGAAGCCTTCGACGGCGTGTTCACAGGTCCGGTCGATAGTCTTTTGTTCTGTCAAACGTCGGAACGTGGACCGCGCCCGGTTCCTCCCGAGGGAGGCGAGGGAGAACGAAACGAGGCGGGCTTTCCTCTCCTCTCCGGCTTCTTCCCTTTGTTTCCTCTCTCCGTTCGTCGTGGAGCACAGCTCTTTCGTCCGAAGGACGAGGCAAACGTAACAGAAGAAAGGAGACAACGACGGGAGAAGAGGGCCTCGAGGAACGAGGAGTTTTTATTGGGGCGGCTGGCTCTTGCGACCAGCGCAGCGCAGCGTCCGGCAATCGTCTCTTGCCAACTCGATATATATGTGTATACATATATATATATCGAGTATGTGTATATATATATGTATATACAATACACGACTGTCTCTCCGCCGCCGCGCCGCGCCGGTTAGAGACTCGGGAACGCGCGTATGTGTGTACGTGCACGGTCCACGGACATACGCGAAGATGGTTTACCACTGGCCAGCGCGAGAGAGAGGACATCGCGACTCGTTTTCTGACTGCAAGAAGGGCAAGGGCAGCCAGCTGCTAGCTCCTACTACCACTGCCAACATCTACCGCCATTGCATCCGATGCGCTATGCTTCCTCGCTCTCTGTATCTCTACCCTGTCTTCTATCCGTTTCTTCTTTCTTCCTCCGCGTTCTTTACTCTCGACTCGTAACCGCGCGCGTCGCGATAAGCCCCGCGATTCGATTGCCTCGCCGGAAGCTGCTCGGGGCCCGGGACACGGCAGATGGCCGCCGACAGGGTGACAGAGGCACGCGTTACCTGTGTATATTGGCAACCGCAAGAAAACCAGTATCTTGGCTACTGCACCGACCTGGCTCGTCGAAAGACGGACCTACCTGTCGCGAGAGTTTAATTTCCTCCTCCCCCTCTACGCGCCTACCACCCTTTCCTCCCACCAACGATACGGTAAAAACGGTGAGGGGTGTGCGGGACGAGTCTCTTTGATATCGTCGCGCGACGCGTTCCGGCGCGGTCGTATGAGAAATTGCGTTTTAATTAGAGGGTACGAATTAGGGTGTGGAAGGCGAAACGACGAGAGGCCGACCGTTGTTGACCAGGTGATTACGCGCGTATACACATCGAATCGCATGAAACGCGGCCGCCGTCGAGCTTTCACTACCGGGCAAAAACAGAACAACCATCGGACCGGGTGGATCCACGCACCTGCTTGACGCGAGGAACGTTACGATCGCCACGCTGAAGGATAGATCGACGATAAGATTTTTGTTAATACGGGACAGGAAACATCATCCGTGTCTGTGTCCTGCCTAATCATAGCGCACTCGTTGAATCCGAATGAGTCTGTCGGCTGTCTGGCGAACCCAGTCCGAATTTTTTCAGCTGTGGCGGCCAGTTAGGCTTAAAGAAGATCGTTTGCCGGAGATCGTCACGTCAAGCCGAATTTTTTTTTTTAGAAGGAAGTCGTGTTCTTTTCGTAAGATTCGTTTTACAAAATAGGTATCGAAAATTGACTAATGGCATTAAACTTAGAGGACTCAGTCTGTGGGAAATTGAATCCACTGAAGTGCCTAATATATTTCACGATCGGTTGCCAGCGTCCTATGCCACGAGTTTATGATAATGATAGAACGAAAACCGAGTAGAATGGAAGAGAAAAGAGGAACGTCCATCCTCTCGAGAGGATGGTCGTAGAAGCAGCAGCAGCAGCAGCAGCAACAACAGCAGCAACAGATGCTGTTGCATATGGAGAACAGAAAAGGAACGAAAGATGGCTGCGGATACCTTCAGAGCCAGAGCATTGTCCACCAAAGACTCCGTTGTAAATAATGTCTCTTCATGGCGGTGAACCAGAAGGTTGGAGAGTTGGCGAACTGTGCACATACACAGAGTTGCCTGGTTGGCCCTTGGCTCCTCTCT